ATATGATTTAAACTTGAGCTACGTCATTTCTTAATATTAGGGTTACTATGGAAACCTATTCAAAGGCGAGTTACATTCACATTTAAACTATGACTTTTTGGCCTAATATTAGGTCAGGAAATATTACTTTCCGCCTGGTTTTAAAAACATACATCTTGAAAACGTCCATATTACGTCCGCCGTATGCACCCTGATGCCCGCTGGACATGCGTTCTTAAATGGACAAATGGAATATCCGACATCCATACGTACAGATAAAGTCTGTTCATAGATATAAGCAAGTGACTAACTGATACGAATTAAGGAAAGACCCGGGCAAGCTGTAAGAATGAAATATGGCCGCACTTTGCTTAGAATGTAATTATTTGTGGTTTTGTTAAGAAAGATACTAAACAATATTTATTTATTTACGTACGTATTTATGTCTAAATCTACAATAAAATTACAAATTATTTTTATTACCTACTTAAATTACTTGAAATTATTCACATAATATATCAGTATTACTATCGCTGTCATCGCCTGTTCTAATTATTATCTGTTCTGTATTATTTGCAATATGGATTGTTCTGCTTTTTCTATATGTTTAACAGAATTTGCCCAACTTTGTGGAGGGATATTTTGCATAATTGGCACACGAATCAATACACGCTGTATTACACACGAAATAAGAATGATTACTAATAAACTTAAACTAAGTAGTATACTAAATCAAAGAATATTAAACACAGGTAGGTATAAAATTATTTTCTATTGCGGACCACAATTTTACCTGAATTTCAATTCCGAAACTTTAGGTAATAATCTTGTTGTATTGTATGTTAATGACCACCCTTGGATAATCCCATTCAAAAGCAATTGGTCACTTTCTTCTATCTATGAACAGACCATACCAATGTCCACGGTACCTATTATCTACGTGTGAGGCTTGTGTCGACGTGTTTGACGACTTTCGTAGCATTTAAAAATTAGTTGGAAATCTTATAATTAGTAAACGTTTTGAAATCAACAAATTACACTCGGGTGCAGTAAAACGCGACAAGTTAATGCTTGGTAAAACTGGATTGTTCTAGTTCAGTTTTTAAAATTTATTAACATTTGCGCAGATATCACTCCAAAATTTTTATTCGTGGGTTTACGTATGATGCTTAGTCATTATAAAATAATAAATTTTTAGCAGTGTATAATTTGTAATAAAGGCTATTTATAAATTTTAGAAAAAATGAACAATTGGGAAACATATTGTTATCTAGATCCTATATACTTTCACGTCCCACTATTTTTTTTCTTCAACTGGGTTGATGACAGTTGAGATGGACTTTGCATTTTGTGACTTTTAGTATTTAGGTAGTTCTTATGTTTTTTTCCAGTTGTAGATTATATTTCTCGATAAACACTATTATTATTATTACTAATATTTCGTTTTCGTCATTATAGGAAGTTAACTTTAAAACATTCAGTGGCATAATTTCTAATAATAATAATAGATTTAAAACACGAATATTTGATAGTTTACAGTTAGACGGCCGAGCTGTGTTAAACTTATTTTTCTGAAAAAAATTCAATTACATGAAACAAAGGACAAGGCAACGGGTAGCATACAATAAAACCATTACTATGTATTGACTTTGGCAAAATTGTTCATTTAATAATTGCGCAAATAAATACTAATTTTTGTTGTTAATCGTTCCTTCTCTACATTGTGATTTTTCAATCAACTTCTAACCACTTGAGTTAAAAAAAGTTATTTTTTCAGTTTCCTAATGCAGTAGTAAAATGTCAATTTGCAATGACAGCAATCATTAAACAAGGTGGATAACTTAAATTGGAATAATAGTGTTTAAACATTCTTTATTTTAGTTTTTAAGACCTGCACACCTCGCATCGTTCCTAAATTCGGCTCACAGCAATTTTCATACAATAGAAAGACCAGATTAGGTAATGAAATTAATGTGACAGCGTCGTTACTAAGATTAGTTGAGTAGAATAATAAATATAATAATTTTTATACATCTTTATAATGATAGAGGTAGGCAGATAATTCAGATAATTAATGTAAGATAATTAATGTAATATCAAATCAACAAAAACTTATATAGAAGTAAGAGTTATTTGAAAATAAATAAATTGTAAATTGTAAAAAAAAAACAATTTGTAACAAAACTTCATTTGCAAATTTTAATCATATTCCCAGAAACAAGATGAACTAACCTCGTTGAAGTGCAGAAAAATAATAAAATAAAATAATAAACGTCACGAATGTTAAAAATACGGCAATGGGCGCATATGGGCTTTAATTCACACCGATATGGCGAAAGGCGCAGTACCGTTTCAGGCGATTTGGTCGACAACAAATTTCGTACAAAGAGGTTAATTCAAATTTACTATCTCCAGTAACGCCTTTTTCAGAATATGTTCCTGAAATTTATCCTCATTTATTACAGTCTCTTTTTATTATTTGCTATATCTTCGGTGTCGGGTTTATTCTCGTACATCTCTAGCTCCAGTCTTATTCGAACATATTTTGGTTGCGAAGAGCTTTGAACACAATGAGAACAATAATTTTGTCAATTTTAGAAAGTGCTGTATTAGTAATCCTTTTTTCAGCAACAAAATTCGAACACACTTGTCATTATCCAGAACGAACTTTGTCAACATTTCTTCTTACAATTTCTCCTGGTTACCCTAGATCATTCCAATTTTTATGAAGTAGCAATGAATATGAAGAATTCGTGGGACGTATACATACTTCAAAAACAGCAACAGCTTTTGAACAAATTGCATTTCTTAATAAAATTTAAGTTAAAATAAGTCAACTTATACGCAGTGTGCCAAAAATTTATAGAACTAAAAATTAAAATTAGAATAAATTTGTTTTTAAGTTACGCCTCAATTTTCAAAGTCACTGCCAAACCCATTCGGAAATTCAATGAAAGCTGACCCCCAATGTCGACAGAAGGGTGGACGGATAAGGGTCGTAGGCTATTTCAACTTACCTGCTGTTTTTGTAGTTGTACGGGGTGTTCGCAATATGTCTCTTCCAGCATGATAGCAATATTTTAAGATATATTGTCGCGTGGAGCCATATCTAGAAATGTTGGTTAGTTTTTTATCACATTCTTAGCAGCCGTTTTAAGTAAATGCGAAAATGCACATCACAATCACAAAATAACAATATCTGGGCACTTGTAACACAACACTCTGAGATTTGCAAACCAAATACAAAGGGTGGTATTTTGGTATAATATTATATATAAAATAATTAGTTACATATAATAGAAATTAATCAAATTAATGAGACTGAAATAGGAAATGCAATGTGAATTTTGATTTCTATGTATAGTGTTACATTTTTAGCTTTAATACTTTTGGACTACTTTCTTTAGAGACTCGTATTTCCATAATATTGGAAGTTGTGAAATTCGTGAACTCTTTATCAATTAAGTTAGCATAGAATGAGTGAAACAGTACAATTATTTGGGGGGCATCTCACAAGAAATATCGTGTTATACAGAAATTTCAAGATCGGTGTTTCTGAAAATTTAAATCATACAATTTACTTTTGGATATAAAAATAAAACTGTTGCGTTGTTACGTCTTCTTAGTAAGTATGGTTGACACTCATCAAAGAAACTATCATTAGATTAGTCATATAATGAGGAACTCAGCAACCATGCGAACTACTAGAAGAAATCCGAACTAGAATATTTTCGTTGGAGAATCGAAGAACGCGTATTTTGAGTTACCAATAAAATAAGTTTAGCCATGTTGATAGTCAATATTCGAAACCGCACTTAGACAACAAGATCGATATACCTCTTAAATTTTAACGTCTACTAAAATTTTTCAATAAAAAAAATAAATCATCTGATAAACCACAATGCAAAACGGGATACTATTGAGATGCTCCTATTAAAATTTAGGTAATTATTATACCTTTAGTAGGTGATTTAATTTTTGCCGATACCAATTATATATGCAAATTAAAAAATAGGCTTGCTCAAAACTTTCAGCATTTTGAAATACAGTGTGCCCACAGATTGGGTGTGGATAAGGTACAAATGATAAAAATTTGTCTATTTAGATTCTGTTTTTTTTAGATTATCGTTCCTGGTTGACGTGAACGAAAATGTGCCAAAAAATAATGAGCGATGGGCATTTTGTGTTTTTTTTTATTGCAAAGTGACTACGTTAAAACAAATAAGTTTCAAAGTTGAATTACTAACTTGAACTATTAAGAAACATTTGAAATATAATTGAAAAATTTATTATAACGCCCATTATTATGGGTACACATAATGGGATTTTGGGATTTTTTCCATTTTCGGTCTTAAAGGGGTTACTGATGGAACGGAAGATACTAGGTTCTCGTTTAATAATAATTAATGATAATATAATACCTGATGATTATTATACATTTTTTGCATATTTTGTTAACATCGTCTCCCCTCCCTCTAAGTACTTACCTTAGGTGTAAAATAAAACCGATATTTAGATTTCATAAACAGCTCACTCACCAATAAGCTGATAACCGCTATAAAAATATATAGAAGAAAACAAACTCCTTTTCCTTAGTGCCTCACTTAAAAAATAAAACCAAAATAAAATAAATCTTATAAACTCTTGTATTACATATTTTATGATACAGATTAAATTTTTCTCCAAGTTTTGAACTTCTCATTCAAACAAATTTAACAAGATAATTTTTATCACATGAAAATAAATTTAATTTTTCGCACAATGTCCAACACGACATAGAATCGTGCATCGTGGTGACTCAAATCCGTAGCGAATTTCCGTCGATCGTAATTTGAGCGGACCCTGTAGAACTCTCGTTATATATTTAGTCGACACATTTACGAAAATATGCCGTTAAGAGACCTAAGCCCATGCGGTGCCAAAACTACACCCGGCCCAGCGCGTCTCACGCCAGTGGAAAATCACTCTCCGCGACGTCAATTCCTATGTCCGTATCCCTCGGAAGATATCGATAAAATAATTAAAGTGTTTATCCCGGGCCGCGGCGTTATTAAAAAAAAATGGAAAAAGAACTGTGTACACACACACACACGTAGTCTATTTGTTGTCGCGGTTAATCGATTCAACGGAGACAGAAAATTAGTCGTTTCTGTTTACACGCAGTAAATTTATCTGCCGCTTGGGCAGAATTATCCAGAGTTCATTGGTGTCACCATCACAGATCTGTTCGGTCAGCTCTCAGTCAGTCGGTATTGTGTTCGGCACGTGACCGGGAGTTCTCGCGTGCTTGTGGCTCTTGTGCATCGCGTTTATGCCTTGTCGGGTGGTTATACTTTACCACAAGCGCAACGATGGGTTTGGACGCGAAAAAAACCAGCGACGATAGCGCAGACAATCCGAAAGAAACGGTACGCGCGGTGGTCAACGATGCCAAAAGTTTCAGCCCCGGCAAAAGGAAACACCAGTCCGAGCACGACTTGAAGTCGAAAGGTTTCGATTTCGGCCGGAGGAACCATTCAGAGCACGACATGAAGCTCAAGGTGTTTGATCACGGCAAGCGGAAGCACTCGGAGCTCGACCTAAAGACTATTCGCTCCGATCACGACTTGAAGGGCAAACACTCTAACCAGGACAAGTTGGAGGAACCGTCGTGTTCTATACCGAGAAATTTGTCCGTGAAGAGTTTCTATTGGGTTATCGTGAACAGCATGGTAAATATTTGCTTTTCGGTTTGAGGATCGCTGCCGATGGCGTCATTATGGGGGGAGGAAATCCAGGGCGCGGTCAATTATTTTACGTTATTTCTGCGCGTATTTGGACTGTATATTTACATTAAGTAAACTCTTCCATCCTGTAAGGCTCCACCTGGAATAGAATGTTAAAAAATTCCTTCTTTAAGACATTTGTAATTCTAATAATTTGCAGCATTTTCTGGAGACTGTCGACCGATGATGAGGAAAGCTAAACGTGTCCATGTGCGATAAACAGTTTTTGACTCACTATTTTTGAAAAAGTATATCACACACTCCCAAACTTTTTAAACTTTCCTCTGCAAGACTGTCTACCTTCTAAACTTAGACATGTGCTGATTGCACGCTTTTGTAGTATAAACAATTTTTCATTGTTTCCATTCAATACCTAATGTGGATTGCAAGATTCATATGATACAGTTTCTTTTTAGTTTCCATGTGGCATTTTAGAAGCCGAAAAGTATAACACACTTTATTTAATTTAAACTCAATATAACCAAGTCAGCATATCCTCCAGAAACATCCCACGAATTTGTTTTTATTTGTTAGTTTTACCTTATAACCATTGACCTTTATATAATCTTTGGTTCAACCACTTTGCACTTCTTGAATAATGTTGTTTTCATTAACAAATAAATTTCTTCTTATTGAACCAAGGTCCAACTATCTTCATAAAGTTCGTGGCAGTGCTATTTAGAATGGTTATAAACAAAATAGTACCAATAACGCTACCTTGTGGAATTTCCAACTCGGCAAGAGCGGATCTACTTGTTGCATTCTACCTGTTATGATTCAATCCATTTAGCGCCACATTTCGAATAGCGTGTAGATACAATTTCTTTTATAAAATATCATAGTCACAGGTACCATACGCTTTTGTCAAGTCTACAGTGTTACTTTTGGAAAAAGGTCTGTGATAGTGGATATAAAGAAACATATCAAAGGTACGAAGTTAGGTTTTAGAGAGGTTTCAGTATATGATAGCTGGTAAAGATTTTCACTTGTTATCCATAGAAAGCTGAGTGCCTATTAATTATTTGTCTATGTACATGTTGTTTAATGTTGATTTCCAGATCGAGATGCTCTACTGATCTAGTTGATTAGAGTCAGTTCAAGTATCCAAGTGTTTTTATTAAGAGAACTTAAAAAAACTGTCTCCGAATATATCGAAAGTAGAGTAGTTCATAGTGGATTAACCTATGCAGTTAGTATATGAGGAGGTTCTGCCCGTGAGGTGTTTGTTTTTCGTACATCGGCAATTAGTCATTTATAGAGAAAATCCAGGCTTAGTAGTCACTGTGCCACGAATTCAGCAAAGTGCTCTTAATAAACTATATCTTAACCTACACAATATTTTGTTAAATCGATTTAGTAAAACTAATGAATGTAGTATGAATCTTAAGAAATTATCTTTTATCGAAACTTTATTGAAAATGTGTTTGAAATGAGTCTAAAAATGCTACCTGATGGTATTTTTCATATATTATGTTGTCATGGAACAGCCGTTATTCTTCTTACTCTCTCAATATATTTCATTCGTGACTTCAAATGCACAACTGTTTATGTAATGTGAACAAGAAAGACTATTTTTATTACGATTCGCGATTTGCCAGACAAAATAAGTGATAAATATATTACCAACGATAGCAACAGCGTACATTAACAAACACCAAACCCAAAGTAATAATATAATTTCCTCCATTATAATTTTGTCGAAGGTACAAAATAATACAAATTTTGACTTTAACCTGTTCGATATTATTTTAATTTTTCCAAAATCTTTAAGTTTTAATTTCAACTTTATCTACTTAACGATTAATATTCGATTCCGCATTTATTGCACAAATCTTGTAGATTTGATTGGTTTTGGTTAGTTGGTTGATAGTATCATCTCTTCCTCTATGCCGAATAAGTTCCGGAACACCCTGTATAGTGAACAATACAAAATCAGGATTGTTTATTTGACTTTTTTCTCAGTTCCTTGGATCAGCAAAATGCATGTAAAAGAATATATTAATTTGCCACAAGTCTGATAAACGACGACAAGTGTTGCATACTATAATTTTTTACTAGCGCTAATGTTTGGGTACATTTCTGTAAAAGAGTACCGATACGATTATATCTTATGAAGAGCCAATTCTTCCAACTTGTCTGATGAATATGTTTCAAGCATGTGCAAATAAGAATTTCTGTTACACGTGTAGCACAAAATGGTACATTATAGTAATTCTATAATACCTGCTTAGAAGTCACGCACTAAAGGTTGACTGACTGGTCTAGGAACATTATTAGCTTGTGGAATTTAAAGTTGTTGTTTAGAATTTTATTGGTGATCCACAAACAGAAACCCAAACGCTTGCCACTGTCCCTATCTTTCAATTGTAACACGTTTCCAATATGGCTTTTTTAAGACATGTAAACTTTGGGTTAGTTTCTTAAGGAGAGAACTAAAAGTTCAGATTTTCACGAAATTATATATTTTCACATGACAATTGTTTGGACAACACCGTGTCTTTATCAAATGGCATTTAACGAACATGGGGGTATTTTATATCTTATTTCAGTGATTTACTTTGAGGGAAAGAAGAGACTCTCAATTGAGATGGCTACGTTCTTACCTTAACTACCAAAAGCACTGCATAACTTGTATCAATACCATGTTTATTTTATCACATTAATGTTTGGTTTCAAAATAACCCATTGCATCTGCGTTATCATTCTAGTAACTCTTGATATTTAATGTTAGCACTGAAAACTATAATACAATAATAGAATTGGCACACATAATACTTCTACATCGCTGATTTTATGCAGGGAAAATGAGCCATATGAATCTTCAATTTTGTACCGAAAATTTACGATGCAGTTTTTGCACACATTTGTCTATTTAGTTTGACATTAAAAAAATATTTTTTTTCACTTTGGGATATTGATAGATACTGGATACAATTTTTTTTTTAAATACAGAAAGTTGACATTTTTACCGACACGTTTGCTACCAAACGTTCTATTAGGTATATATATCTTGTTAAAAATTTGTTGCCACTTCCGAGGTGATTCTAATTTAAAAAGCAATTAAGAATTCTTTTACTGATAGTTCACAATGAGACATCAATCCCAACTAATTACATCGTTGCTTAAATGTTTCCTATAAATGCTAAACTCAGTTTTAAACATATCTACGTTGTCACAATTTTTGAGTAAGTTATTAGAATAAAGAAAATACAAAAATAATTTATTTTTGTATTTATATTATTTATGATATTATCGACCTAATGGCATTTAAATTACTGTTAAATCAGAGAGAGTACTAATTATTTTTTATTATATAAATTTATGGAAAATGTTGAATTCCTTGGATTCAAACTGCCAAAAGTAATATTTTCACTTCTAAATATATTTATTGATTTGTTCTACTTTACTGGTTTGTGTTGGTCTTTTAAAAATTAATAAATAAAAGTTTATCGAAAAGTAGCTTTCAAAAAGTCAAACCGAAACACTCAATGTTTATATGCACGAAAAAAATGATCTATGTATATATAATGTGTTTCTAAAAAAATAAATAAAGTAGAAGACTTTAACAGTGAATAAAACAAATTAAAAAGTTTATTTGGAATACTCAAACAAAAAATAGCTCTAAACCCTAAGCGTCACAAAATTTTATTTTTGTTTCTATAATTCACAATACTTGCCGACTGACGGTTTTGAACATCTGAGTATTTTTCAGCCAATGTCAAAATGCTTTTGATAACATTTGCTCCATTCATAGAAATTTCAAAATTAAAATTTAAAAAATATTTTTTGTATTAATTAGTTAATTAATTACCGGTTAAAACAGGGGGACAAGAAATGATACGCTGTTTTCATATTTGTTATATTTTTTCTTAATATTTTTTATGAGGAAATTTAGACCCACGCGGATGTTGTATGGCACGAACATCTTTTTTTTCTTCTAATATTCTTGCAGCTCCGACCACTTCTACTCTGTTATCATGTGTAATTAACGCCCCCATGCACTTAAATTCTTTTACGACTTCGAAGCGATGGTCGATAATGTAGAGACGTTTTGTCGGATACGTTGCCTTGGATTCTTTGATAGCGCCATGTACGGCGTGTTTTAAATTTCAATAAGTCTTTTTATTCATTTCAGTAGTGTCAAAAGCATAATCCAACTTATATTTTAAGGTGCACTTTTGCCGAATTTAATTGCAGCAAAGGTTACTATTAAAAATTTACTTTATGATCACAAAAGTTTCACAAAACTTTCGGGAAAATTAAAATATACCGGGTGTCCCGGTAAGGACAACGAGATGAGCTATTGGGCAAATAGACGATCCTAGAATTTTGAAGACTTCAAAAGGCTTCAATAATTCGCTAAGAAAAAAATGAAAATCATTTGCCAAAAAAGGGAGAGAGGAAAAAAGTGAATGCAACGATAATACTTTAAATAACCTAAAACTAAAAAAGAATGTGAAATTATGTGAAGTATTTCGCTTTAGGGATTGTTATTAATGTCCAAATTATCCCGAATTTACTAAATATAACGCTAGTTCATTATGTGAGACGCCAAATGATATTTATTATCAAAATTTAATTGTAAGTTATCTTTCATGCTTTTTCCAAAACACCTTCGAAGCGTACAAAATTACCCATTACTGCCATTCTTACGCGTTGATAGCCGTTTGCAATTGATTTATTATTATCACCAATCTTTTCTTTATAAATTGGGTGTAGCCAACTAACCAAAAATTATAGCTTTACGTAGGTAGTAAAATGGTGTTTTGAAGTAATCAGAACCTGCCCTGTTTAAAAAAGACATTTAACAAATTTAAACTATTTAAAACGAAATCAAATAGCGACATGACAGATGGTCTGAGGAAACAAAATTGGTTGTCCTGGCAATCTTGTAATTTCACTACTATTTAAATACATAGTTAATGAAATTAGTTAGCGTCCAACAA